TCGTTGTACTACAACAACACAATTCTACTACACTTGTAGCTAGCTCTAATCAGTGTGGATACGACGTCGTCGTCCCAGGAAACATCTCTTACACAAATAAAGCCTTTATTAGCGGTAGCCAGATCTTCCACGCTCTAATCCGATCTTTCAGGGGCTTATTCCATGCTATGTCTGCTGGTTGACAGTACGTATATTCAGGGGGAATGCGTTGCAGAACGACATTTTTCTCAAGAGCAAATACAGTGACTTCAGGCGGCCAATGCGCACTGAAGTCGTTCCACATCAGCGTCACAGGCTCATCAGTTGAGCTACGCTCACCAGGACAAATGCTGCAAAAAATTGCAGGCCACAAGGACTGAATTACGACACGCATGGTGCGCGTTTTATACAGGCGAAGTGCGGCAGCTTTGGATGCAAAGGTCTCCGATATCAGATTAAACTGCTTCTGCTTCCGCGTCGCCTCGTTGCCACGACACCCGCATTTTGGTATTTGGTCTCTCCTTTGCTCTGCGGTAGCTCCCGTTATGCCACACTGGCTTCAAGGAACAGTGGGGTGACACTCGACAAAACACTGCAAATCCCACTAGGCCAAGGTCCAATTCACGGGTGTGATTGGTCGATAAAGGGGGGTGACACTTGACAAAAACGGACACTTGACACCGATACTACGTTACATTAAAATGGTACACCCGAAAGCAGAATACATGTACAGAAGTCCCCCTGAATACGCGCTACTTGTAATTCATATACCCCATTACATCGGATCACGTGAATTGGGGGTACACTGTACCGTACAGGGAGTAGCAGCAACAAGAACGGGTTCAACGAATTAAGTACAGGGAGTAGCGGCAATAAGAAAGGGTTCAACGAATTAAGTATTGAAGGCGTTTACGCTACGTGAGTCAAAACAAATCGAAGAGGTCTCAAATGTACTGTATATAAGAATTAATATCTTACTCGATCGATTGAGTAGCTCGTCAATTTCACTTCATCAACGTATAAACCAGCACGTCTCCAGTAGTTTCTAATATCCTGTGATGGCACCTCGTTCGCGGCATCACATATCCACTAAAGCGCTTCGGACGGTACGAACTCTACGGGTCCGTGTCCCCATCGTCTGTGGACGATGATCTGCCTCTTGTGTCCGTGCAGCCATAAAGCGCTGCTGCAACCACGCTATGACCCCTTGGTCCATAGGTTGGCGTTATCCAGCAGCAGAATATGTCTGCCATGCTCAGCAATTACCTTGTCTAGTATTTGCAGCCACTTTTGGAAAAGATTTACGGTCATCTAGCCCTTCCCAGTACCGTGATATGTAGCCAAACTGGCATATCCTGCGGCCATCGTAGCTCCTTAGATTTCCCCCAAAATATAGCTTCTTGGGGCCGTGGCAAGCCATAAAGTGGTGCTGCCAGCAGCTTTTGGTAGACTTCGGCTACTTTGCGAGAGGTATCTTCAAGATCTCAGCGAACGCCCGCGCAAGCTACCGCAGCCCGTCGCGACTCAAACTCTGCCAACTGCTCCACCAAGTTCGTCTCCAGCAGCAACAACATGGGTGACGATCCCTTCTTGCTATCTAAATAGTCCATGGATGTTGAGAGCAACTGTGCCTCCCTCTTCAGTATCTTCGAGACAGTATGGACGGAGGGCGGCTTTGGTAGCCCGAACGCGGA